TTTGAAGAAATTTTCCAGCATTTGAAAATAAACATGCGGGCCCTAACTGGTTTGGCTCAGTGGATAGAGCGTCGGCCTGTGGACTGAAAGGTCCCAGGTTGGATTACAGTCAAGGGCATGTACCTTGGTTGCGGGCACATCCCCAGTAGGGGGTGTGCAGGAGGCAGCTGATCAATGTTTCTCTCTCATTGATGTTTCTAACTCCCTCTCCCTCTCCCTTCTTCTCTGTAAAAAAATCGATAAAATATATTTAAAAAAATAAACATGTGGGTGAGGTGTTCATTCCACAGAGGGCTTATGGTAATGGGATTCTGGGGTATTAGAGAATGAGGATTCGAAGCTTCTAGGGAAATAGCCTATGGAAGTGACTGGATAAGTGAGCAGAGATATCTGAGAAATGTTCATTGCAGCTTTGTAGTGGTGAGAAATTGAAAACAATGTCCCAACATGGGCATTAAAATCGACACAGAAACCTATGTACAGTTTTGTTAATATGGAAAAGCAGCCACTAAACACAGTCCTGTCGTCCTGTTTTTGCTTTGTCTTGTTTTATTTTACTTTTGCTAATTCTTATATTTAATATGTCTGGAAATATCTATATGTCCCAAAATTGTCATTGTGACAATTTTCCAGTGCTCATATTATGGATGATTTAACATTTATCTCTGTTTTAGAGTTTTTCTATGATGAATTTAGACCACCTGCATAATTTAAAACAAAACAAAAACAAAGTTAAATAAATTTAGGTCAGAAATTGTGGGGTCCTCATGCAGAGCTGTGCTGCTAACTCTTGGCTGAGACAGTCGAGGGTCTGGCACTGGTGGCCACTGTGGGGCTCGAGTAGCAGCTGCCAGCAGCAGCCGCCTGGCTTGGCTCCATTGGAGAAGAAAGGAAGCTGCCATCTGTTGCACCTCCAGCCTAAAAAATTACTCCCCATCTGCCAGCTGGTTTCCATGGGCACCAGGGCAAAAAGAGTAGAACCAGCCGAGGCTGTTGGGCGCAGGGCGGGGTGTCAGGCAGACTGAGCGGGATGGTAACCCCAGCTGCTCAGGTTGGGAGGACACCTGTCGTGGGCATAGCCAGTCTCATCCTCAGAACAAGAAAGGAATGGGGACCCTACAAACACTGGATCCCCTGGCATGTGGAGAGACCTTTTGTACAGTCAGGGCCTTTAGAAGGGGAGAGGCCAGTCCCTCGATGGTATTCTTTAGCCCTTTGACTGAACCATGTGTGCCCACACACTCACGTTTATTTTTTAACATAAAACTTCAAACAGGTACCTCTTTTATGAAGTCTCTGATCAAGTATTTTGCCCATTTTTCAGTTGGGTTGTCTGTCTCATATTTAGTAGGAATTCTTTATGGAATATGTCAGTTTATACATACACACATGCACATTTGCAGATATTTTTTTCCACTCTGCATTGTCTTTTAATTTCTACTGGTAAATGGTGTCTTTTGATGAACAAAGTTCATAATCTTAATATATATTATATATATGTACTAGTATGTGTATGTGTTTTAATTATAACATAGTTGAATCTATCATATTTTCCCTTTATGATAGGCATCTTGTGTCCTGTTTATGAAATCTTTGTCCACTCCAGGGTCATTAAAATGTTTGTAGTTTTTCTTCTGAAAGCATTATTGTTTTACCTTTCACCTTTACATCTGCAGTTCCTTTGGTGTGAGGTAGGGATCACAATTCATTCTGGACATGGGATTGGTCAAGCATTATTTTTAAAAAAACCTCCTTTCTCGCCCTAACCGGTTTGGCTCAGTGGATAGAGCGTTGGCCTGTGGACCGAAGGGTCCCAGGTTCGATCCCGGTGAAGGGCATGTACCTTGGTTGCGGGCACATGCCCAGTAGGAGGTGTGCAGGAGGCAGCTGATCGATGTTTCTCTCTCATTGATGTTTCTCTCTATCCCTCTCCCTTCCTCTCTGTAAAAAAACAATAAAATATATTTAAAAAAACAAAACAAAAAACCTCCTTTCTCACTGCACTGCAGTGTCGCCTGTGTGCTTTTGACAGGAACGATGGGGAGTACAGGCCTAGCTTGAGATTCAGGGATTCCAACTCCTGTTCTCAATTTCAAGAAAAAGAAATTATCTTTCAGGAAGTGAGGATTTTAATTGTGCTTCTGCTTCCAGGATACCAAGAGTTCGTGTCCTGGAGGATGAAGAGGGGTCGAAGGACATTGAACTGTCTGATGACCCTTATGACTGCATCCGGCTAAGTGTGGAGAACGTCCCCTGCATCGTCACCCTGTGCAAAGTATGAGCGTCCGTCTAGGTCTTTTCAACCCCCTACCCGTTAAGGTTACTTAATAAGTTGAAAAGTTATAGTTTCACAAACTGTAGAGGGAGCTTTGCCCAGAATCCAGTAGTTGGTTATAGTAGAGATCACTGCCGTGAGCAGTCTTTCTTCTTAATGAGAAGAGGTGGCGGAATGCTGGGAGCACACGAGTGGGTTCAGAGTGAGAGCAGCCAGTTTGTTAAGCTCCTTCTATACCAGGCATTTCACCGAGACACCCTGTAGGCCTGTTTCCTTTCATTTTCTCAACTCTGTGGGGTCCAGGCTGGTTGACAGTAATAGGTGGTTGAAAGGCGAATACTGTCCCCTCTGGGGGCTCCAGTGTCCACATCTGCCAAATGTGGGGGTTGCAGCAGCTCCTGGTGTGGTTTCTACATGAGCCCAGGGGCCTGTGAAGCCAACATCTGGCTGATGCTGATGTGCACAGAGGCCTGTATTGGCTGAGCTGTCCCTGATTCCATGCAGGATTCATTGTTTCAAAATAAGGCCAATGGGGTTGGGTTTAATTCCACGAAAATCACTTCATAAACCTGAGTGTGGTAAAGTGTTGGGACTGACTCAAGCCACCTGCACCAGACTCTTTTTTTTTAAATATGTTTTTATTGATTTTTAAAATATATTTTTATTGATTTCAGAGGAAGGGAGAGAGAGAGAGAGAGAGAAACATCAATGATGAGAGAGAATCATTGATCAGCTGCCTCTGCAGCCCGGGCATGTACCCTTGACCGGAGTTGAATCTGGGACCCTTCAGTCCGCAGGCCTATTCTCTGTTCACGGAGCCAAACTGGCTAGGGCCTGACTCATTCTTGAGCGTGTCCCTCAGCGTGTCCTCTCTTGCTCTCATCTTTGTCACAGGGAAACATCCATGTGGCCGCCCATGTGAATTTCTCCCTGTGCCCCACTGTCAGAAACACTTGGTGGCCTCTGACTTGGATGGTCATTGAATTCTAGCTCTATCCCCCCCACCCCCATATTTCCATTTCATGTCTGCTACACAGCTCACACCGCAGCCGGCAATACGTTGGTTGAACATTGCTTCAGATATTTTCCACGTGATCAGAATCTAAAAATCTCGATCCTGAATGGGCAGTGCAGGCTCTTTGCTGGTCTGGGTGTACTTCCGGGAGTGGTCGGGCGGGGATCAGGGCTGTGTCACCCACGTGTGCTCTGCCGCCTGCCCGCAGATCGGCTATCGGCACGTGGTGGACGCGACTCTGCAGGAGGAGGCCTGCTCCTTGGCCAGCGTGCTGGTGTCCGTGACCAGCCAGGGCGTCGTGACGTGTATGAGGAAAGTGGGGAAGGGCAGCCTGGACCCAGAGAGCATCTTCGAGATGATGGAGGTGAGGTTCCGGTTCTGAGGCAGGTGCTGGGCCTGGCTGGGAGTGCCTGCTCCTTCCTGCCACCTCGGCAACACCATCGGATTCTCCGTTTACACCCCTGACCCAGACTTGGAGCTTGGAGGACAGCTGGATGTCTGCTGACTTAGCCAAGGCGGGTGTGGGGGGTAAGGACCCTGCTGGTAACAGTTGCTTATCTTCCCCTCCCTGATCCCACGTTCACGTTTCTAAAGGAGAGTGTTGAACTGATAATGTGAACTTATGACTCCAAAGTCCCAAGCTTTTGTGATTTGATGAGGGAATTGGAGGCGGCAAAGGTGGAGCCAGGGGCTGAAGGGTGGCCGTCTCCCCTTTCCTCCGGGTTTAGAACTGTTTCAAGGGGAGAGAGGTGGGAATGGGGAGGTCCTCCTGGCACCCTCGGGTCTCCTCCACCCTCTGCAGCACCATTAGGGCTCTTTCCAGCTGCTCTGTGCTCATTGGGTGACGTGTTTGTCTCCCCACTGGCCCAGAGCCACAGTGCCCTGGTCCTGCTCACCCTCCCAGTCCACCTCAACTTTGTACAAGTCTTTGAGGACTTTAACACTGACCAACTGACCGACTGACTGACCTGCCAGGAACGCAGTTAGCCGGAGCAGGTGGTTTTTGTTCAAGCAGCCACTGGATCACATCATAACGTGTGCCCATAGGTCATTTCTCAGGCAAGGTTGCCATGTAATGCTTCCTTCATTCCTAGAAACGGTGGCTTTTCACGGGAGACTCTAAGCCCTTGGTGTCTGTTTTCTCCTTTTATTATCTTCCTTGAAAGCACAAATGGGCGGTGTATGTAGTGTCGGAGACACCAAAGACCTTATCCAGGTGTTGACTTTGGTCTCATCTGAGGGGTCTGCTTAGAGATCTGCTGGCAGGTACATTAGAAACTGCTTGTTAGGACAAGTCATCAGCACCATCTTCTTCATCAGACACACTGCACGTCCTGGGGTCTCTGTGCCTTCTTACTCCAGGACCGTGGGACTTGGGGACCACGTCCAGACTTGGTTGACAATTTTGCAGCTGTTGTGACGGCAGCGGCGGTGTATGTAGTGTCGGAGACACCAAAGACCTTATCCAGGTGTTGACTTTGGTCTCATCTGAGGGGTCTGCTTAGAGATCTGCTGGCAGGTACATTAGAAACTGCTTGTTAGGACAAGTCATCAGCACCATCTTCTTCATCAGACACACTGCACGTCCTGGGGTCTCTGTGCCTTCTTACTCCAGGACCGTGGGACTTGGGGACCACGTCCAGACTTGGTTGACAATTTTGCAGCTGTTGTGAGGACAGCAGGGATGCTGAGTGTGAGCTAATGGCCAAGGCAGCCTTTGCTGCTTGGTGCCTGGGGGTTGGTGTCTTTTTTTCCTCTTTATTGGGATGGAGGTTTTCTCAGAAGGAGCTATTACACTGTTGAGGTTTGGAGTTTGTTTTGTATTGATTAATTATTTAATTGCACAAAGGCCCGGGAGGCAGATGGAGTGTGTACGGGGCTGGAACCGCAGGCTGGCAGAGGGGCTTCTCCGGGTCAGCGTGCCTGCCTCACGCGTGCTCTCTCCCCTCCTCGCCCTGCAGACCAGCAAGCGCGTGGGCAAGGTGCTGCACACCTCGCTGCACAGCATCCTGCACAAGGAGGAGAGCCTGGGGCCCAAGAGACAGAAGGTTGGATTCCTGGGGTGAGCTGCACATCAGCCCCCCACCCCGGAGCTGGTTTCCACTTTTTTTGTTTACGCCGAAGTTTGTATATATTTTTCCTAATTATGAATTTAAAGCAGCATTTGTACGTGTAAAATTAAAGTTTATTTTCTGGTCTGGTTGGGTATGGCTGGGATTCTTTAGCGCTGAGTCAAACGCCTTTCGGTGACACCTGCAAGAGTCTGGCCCTCGCCTCCTCTGGTCCCAAGAAGTGCTCCCCGGGAGAGAGGGGGCTCTGGTCATGGCCTCCCCGAGGGGGCTCATTCATCTCCTGCTGCAGGAGCTCAGAACAACGAACACACTGGAATAAGGGCCCCTGAGAAAAAATGGCGTAAAGGAGATGCTTATGATGTGCATTTTGTGAAATTTCCCCCCTCGCAGAGCCTTTAGTGTAAGAATCACACAAAAAGGTTCATTTGCTTGTGCATTTGGTGCTCCCGGGGAGGAGAAGAGAGAGGCACTCTGTCCAGGTGTCCACCCAGGGCTTCCGCCTGGCTGCTGAGCCTCCGGAGGCCTGGGGAAGCCCAGTTCTTGCTTCCTGCCTCCCTCCCCTCCCCCCACACCGCCCAGAGCAGGGTCTTGGTGGCCACTTTGGTCCTTAGCCAACCTTCCTTATCAGCCTCATTGCTCAGTGTTTTATAATCACTCCCGGGTGTTTTGTAAGATTTTCTTGTTTTGTCAGCATCAAGAAGACTGCTTTAGAGATGTTGTCATTTGATTACCCAGCCTGCCTTCATGCTCTGGGATGGGAAGGCTGTCCTCCATGGCCCCAGCAGACTCCCAGGGAATCAAGTCTGTTTGAGAGCTGAGCAGCCCGTTTCTCTCCAGGGGGTCGGATCCTCCCAGTCAGTCTTAAAGGATCAGGAGAGCAGCCATGCATTCATCTGCATTTCAATTCGACAAGTAGGGTAAGGAGCTAGGCATGGATTGCTCAACGGGAAAAGCATGTGGGAGCCATGCAGGCTGCTCCAGGGGGCCTGGCATGGGCACCTCCTCTGCATGGCCAGGCCCGTCCCTGCAGAGAGAAGCAGCTGCCCACACTTAGACTTGGAGCTGCTGCCCTATTGAGAACACAGCCTGGGTGTAGTTATTTTTTAGCGTTTTTCCAGGGTTTGTCCCTCCTGGTGCAATGACAGTGCTCCCGAAGACACAAGACCAGCCTGCCTCCTCCCTGCTCCTGGTGGACTGTGTGACAACATGACAGTGGTCAGGGGCAGGTGTAGAAGCCTTCCGTCTTGATGATCAAAGACTGGCAGATGAGACAGACGGGTGAGGCTTTGCCGGGCCACTTCCCACTGCACTGCGCGGCTAAGCAGTTACAGAAAAAAGGAAGGAGAGAAATACGGGGTGGGGCAAAAGCAGGTTTGCAGTATGAGTATGAGGAACAGTTTATTCTTGTATTATTACTTCCTCACGGTTATTTACTTGCATTACAACGGTAAGCAGTGTACATCACAAATGCAACAAAACAGCGACAGGCAAGGTCTCTCCAGGCGAGGTGTTTATTAGAAATGTCTGGCCCTCGCAGGCCGAAGCCCCACCCCCAGATAAAGGAGGGCAGCATCTCCTGAAAGAAACTATGCCACTGGCTTTGCAAAGGCCTTACGGAGTCAGGCCTCGCATGCCTGTTAACCTCTGCCCCCTCCCTCCCCTCACTGCCTCCAGGAGATACGGTTCCTGCTGTGGGAAGAACTAGGTTACTCATCAAAATAATGGCAAGACCTGGCTTGGCATGTGCCAGGGGACTGGAGGGGGAGTGGGTCCTGAGGGTGTCGGACCGGCGCCATGGCTGGAAAGGGGGTCAGTGTCCCCACAAAGAGGCCTAAGCTTGTTCCTAATTTGCTGCTGGTAGCCCCCTGAAACCTGGACCTGGCAGTCACGTGGAGCCACGGAAAAGGCAGCAACTCTTCTTCAATCTGTGAGAGAAGTGAGGTCACAGGGCAAACCTCTGCTCCCCAAATTGGAGAGACCAACAGGCAAATCAGAGACTCACACTGGGACTGAAACCTCTGGGGCCAGAACCAGGAAGGCAAACTGAGCCACGCCTGTGAGCTGCTGGAGGCTCGGTGTGCAGCTCCGAGAGTTAAAAGCTCCAGGGGAAGGGGAACCTGGGCATCAGGGGCCCCACACTTCTGTGTGTTTTATCTCCAGGAGCTCGGAGTTTTGGAGAAATACTCCCCTCGTGCAGAGGGAGGGACAAAGGGGCCATTTTGGAAATACATCAGAGCACTTTTGTTTCTAACAAGGTCCCTTCAGGAGACACTTTCACCAGAGCCTCTGGGGACCTGGCTGCCCTGGAGGAAGGGAAATGCCCTTCTCCAGCCGTCCTGTCCCACCCCAGGGCCCACCCCAGGGCCAGAGGTGGGCGGCAGGGCGATCGGACTGAGAAGCAGTGATGTTCACCGCCAGAGGCACAGCCTCAAGAGCTGACCACCAGGCCAGCAGGCCTGCACCGGAGGGTCACGAGGCCAAGGCCGCAGGCCCTGTCGGTGGTTTTGACTCGGGATGAGACCGCCCTTGCAATGCTCTTGGAGATTCGCACCCTGGACACTCTCACCTGTGAGGAGAGCGTGGGAAGTTCTGTGCCTCCCGGGGGCCGCTGCGCTCTGATTCAGGCCAGCCCGGCGGAGCTGAGAGGAAACATCTGTGCAGGGCGGATGCTGTTTGGGCTGACATGGGTGGGGTGGCCAGAGGGTGTTTTCTATAACTCAGACTTCCAACAGTTTGGAGGAAAAAAACAACAGGAACTTGAAAGCTCAAAGGGGCCTTTTAGAACTCTCTCCTGATTTTCCTGCCTCTGGGCTTGGTTAGGAAGATCATTCTTTGTGCAGGAAAATTGGTATAAAAAGGGGGGGCGGTGCGTTAGTGCAGGGACATTTCCCTGAGGGTGGGTCACTCATGAACATTAGCCCCAGGTCATCTCCTGGCCAAAGCTACCCCTGCCTGCTGTCCCTCCGCTGGAGAGGCCTGGGGGATGGTGCGGCACAGCGATCCTTCCCACGGGAGGATGAAATCCACAGACTCTCCGGGGCTGTTGGTGAATCCATTGCGGGCGGCCACTGCGAGCTGCCATTTTTTTTAAGAAAATATATTTTATTGATTTTTTACAGAGAGGAAGGGAGAGGGATAGAGAGTTAGAAACATCAATGAGTGAGAAACACCGATCAGCTGCCTCCTGCACACTCCCCACTGGGTATGTGCCCGCAACCAAGGTACATGCCCTTGACCGGAATCAAACCTGGGACCCTTGAGTCCGCAGGTCGACGCGCTGAGCCAAACCCGTTAGGGCTGTGAGCTGCCATTTTGATGCTCAACCCCTGACTTCAGCCCTTGGACCCAAATCCAAGCTGGTTCTGTGTCCTGCTTGCACGTTCCCCTCTTCCTTAAGCACTTCATCCTAACGAACACCCCTAATGCACATCCCTAATGCAGCGTCACTGTTCTGGAACCGCCCTGCTTACTTTAAATACTGGTGCTGCTCCCAACATCTGAGCAGGTTGGGTAAGTCCTGTAACCTCACTGAGCCTCAGTTTCTGCAACTGTAAAATGGGGAGATGGCAGGACTTCCCTCCTGTTGCTGTTGGGAAGCCTCTCTGAGCGAATTCCAGGGAAGGGCGTGACTCCACACCTGCCCTGGGTGTGAGCTCTGAACACTATCGTGTGTTTTTCAGAACCCTAGAAAATATTTTAGAAGGCAGGGCCAGATGCGGGGGGGCTGTTCCCTGGGAGGCGAGGCTCTGCAGCTCCCAGCCTTCCCCCTTCCAGGCGTTCCGTTTTGTTTTGCTTGGGTGCGCCCTCAGCCAAGTCTGGGAGGGTTTCCTGGACAGAGGTCCTCGCCTCGCGGCAGCTGCTGAAGCCGTGCAGCCCCGGTCACAGCGCCACTGCTCTCCCACTCAGGCGCACGGCAGGCGGCAGCAGCATGGAGCTTTGGGGGGCCTACCTGCTCCTCTGCCTCTTCTCCCTCCTGACCCAGGCCACCACCGAGCCACCGTCCCCCAAGGTCAAGAAGGCTGCAAACGCCAAGAAAGGTAAGGAGGGGGACAGGGCACCTCTCCATCTTCCAGGGAGCTGGTCGCCCTCTCCTTCGCTGGGTCCTTGGGTTCATTTTCCTTCTGGATGAGTCCGGAGAACGTTAGTGAAGTCCCCCTGGGGCCTGGGGGTGCTCTCCCTAGCAGGGGCGGCTGCCAGAAAGAACTGACTCTCACAGTCGGAAAGAACCTTCCAGATCATCAGATCCACTTCTCTCCCCCTCGATGTTTTAAAGAAATCAAACTTTTTGCTCAGCCGTCTGGAGATGCTCAGCCCTCACCGGAGAGAGCCAATGGCTCTGCTCTGCAAGCTCCGAACCTCAGGTTTCTTAGCTCTGAAGTGGGGACCTGGCCTTTGCCCCAAGGGTTGTCATGAGGATCTGATGATACAAAGCTTATAAAGTGCCAGGCACATAGGATATACTTGGTGCAGGAGGCGGGCAGGAGAAAGTTAATTCTTGGTTCCATAGCGTATCCCAGCCTTGGAACTCAAACCAGGACACCAGAAGCAGCTTTTCTTCCTCTGTCGCCCCTGGGGTTTGGGGTGTCTTTGGGTCACCTTGGCTGCGGCAAGGCCTGCCCTGGGAGCCTTGCCTGCAGTGAAGTCACCTCGAGCTATGTTGAGACAACACCAGTGAAGTGCCATGGCAATGGACGGGCTGTCACCCCCACAGGGCTCAGAGGCGGGGAGAGTTCCAGGCGCCAGGTCCGAGAGCACAGAAAACACGAAGCAGGGAGGGGCGTGTGGCCACCCTCAGGCCCCCCCGGAGCCTCCTCTGTCCGTGGCCAGTGGCCAGTGGCCGTGGGTAGTGGAGTATGTATGTAAA